TAAGGGAACAGAATTGGCTGCTCCAAAATATGTCTCTGACATAAGGATTATTTTAGGCTGGTTAATTTTAAGAAACAGCCAACAGGGGAGCAGCACTTAAAAACCAAGGAGAAGTTACCCTTTGTAAAAGACCTTTACATTTGTAAGAGAAGTCTCCCTTTGTAAGGCAGTTGACCTTTTCTCTAGAAACTCTTATCAATGCAGAAGACAGATGCAAATCTGCATAACAACCTTACTCTTGTTTACTGTGCTTTTCCAGGTAACCTCCTGAAATTGACTCCCCCCAACATCATCTTTTATCTTCAACTGAAGATGGTATTTAAGGTGGTGGCTTCAGCCATTTTTTGGCCAGCTACTCAGTTTTCCTGGGTCTCTCCCATGTATACAGGAGGTATACATGTTATTAAACTTTTGTTTGTTTTTCTCCTATTAATCTGTTTTTATTATAGGGATGTCTCAGCCAAAAACCCAAAAGGGCAGAGGAAAAACAATTTTCCCTCCCCTACAGAGCAAGAGGCTCTACCATCTAGCCTAGGTGTGTGTAGGCTCTACCGTTCAGGTTTGTGTAAGTGATGTTTGCATGATGATGAATTCACCTAAGGGTGCATTTCTCAGAACAGAACCCTGTCATTAAGTGGCACATGACTGGAACCTGTGTCAACCTAAGAAACGTTCAGACCTGTAGAGAATTTTTATAAGAGTTGATTTGAGCCAAACTGGTGACATATTCCGGGAACAAGATTTCAGATGCTCCAGAAAATAAGTTTTGCATCTTCTTTTATGCATTTGAGGGAACAGAAGGAAGATTACATGGAGTTGGGAGGAAGCAACATAGGGATTGAATAACAGGATAGTTAACAAAATTATGTGCTCTCTTGAGGGATAATAATCACTTAGTTATTATAGAAAGTAGGGTTAATAACCTACTTCAAGGGGTGACTTCTGATATTTCAAAAGTGTTAACCTAGATGCACAAGAACAATGGACAGGGTATGCTTTTAAAACCTTTCACTAGAGGAGTTTTAGGCCTGGGGCGTGACTACCCACCATGACCTACCTGCCCAGTTAGGAATTTATGATCAGATCACCCTGTGGGGTTCCTTTTTGTAGAACTTCTTTTTTCCAAAGCTCCCCCTATTTGGTTATAAATCAGTCCAGAGGACGCACTGATGACCAACCTTTTGGTTGGGTAGTGTGATCTCATGGTGCTAGGAAGGCTCATTCCTAGGAAGTCTCAGTATTGACATCATCTTGTTGAACATGGGGTTGGGGTAGGTAGTACTGTAACCATGGGATCTGAGCTGAGGCCAAATCTTTCCCCTAAAGGGAAGGACAGGTAAATGGAAGGCAGTTAAGTCTTATGGGCTTAATTGCAAAAAAAACCACTGGATCATTTCTGTCCCATTGAACTATCATGAACTATCATGATCTGAGTTTTGCCTTCTGTCCTATTCTGTATTTACCATCTTGTACATAACATCTTTACATAGCCATGAAAAGAGTATTAACAATTATTTTATACATGTTCAGTAATCACAAACAGTTGGACTATATAGAAAACCCCAAAGAACAAGTATAGCTATTATTATATTATTAGCAAACAGGTAAAAATCAAACAAAATGGATTCTGAGTTCAGTGTCAATCCGTAGATATACAGGCCTTGTTGATGTCTTGGGATAGCTTTCTACCTCTGGTGTTTACCTCTTCTGATCCTCAAAGAGTCTTTGATGCCTATAAACAGGAGTGGATGTCCACTTTTGTGGGTAGGTGCCTGATAAGGTCCTTTACAGTGAGGTTGGAAAGCGTCTTTTATTTGATGACCTTTCCGATAAACAAAATCTCTAGGTGGCAGTCAGTGATGTTTAACTACCCTGGCGGTAATCCCGAGTGTGGCTCGGGGTTAATTTTCACTGCCAGAA